ACCAACCAGGGCCGGAGACAAACTGCAACCGAAGTACGTGCCCTTAGCGGTAACCGAACCCAGGTCTCTCTGTACCGCAGGTCTACGCTCCAACCGCTGAGCCAAACCGGCCAGGGCGGTTCTCAATAATTCTTAAGTGTAAAGTATGACACCCAAAAATTGTATTAATAAATCAAACTAGAATTTAAACCAAAAAGCATCACTTGGTGTTAACAAAAGATATTAAAAGAAAGTTCCAACAACCACATGTCTTTATGTGTCAAATAAAATGTCAAACTATATTCCTGGCCAGTTTGGTTCAGCAGTTAGATCCCTGGCCCTGGCTGGGATCATACAGGATGCAACCAACTGATTGATGTGTCTCTCTCACATCAATGTTTCTCTTGTTCTCTTTCTCCCCTCCCTTCTTTCCTCCCACTGTAATTGAAAATCAGTGGAAAAATATCCTCAGGTGAGGGTTAAATAAAAAATAAAAAAGTTAAACTATATAAAACTTATAAAGTGTCTCAGCCCAAAAATAGATATAGGATTTATTAATATATTTTATTTTATTTTTAAATTATTTTTATTAATTTATTTTTGTTACAGATGTTTCTCCTTTTCCCCCTATTAACATCCTCTTCCCCTCCCCACCCCTAACTGCCTATTAATATATTTTAGCTGTACCCTGCACTGCCTTTTCCACAGCATGTACAAAAAGTAAGCATTCTCTTTGACATATCTATTATTAACACTGGAAAATATACACATGTTATCAGCACACCAAGCAGAGTTGTATACATAAGAAAGACTAAAAGGACATATACTAAAACATCAAATGTGGTTATCTCAAAATGATTAGCAAGAAGTTTCATTTTCAACTTTATAAACTGTTTTAAATTTTTACATATATGTACTGTTTCTATAATCATAAAAAAGGACATTAACAATGTTAAACAAATCTATAAAAATATATTCTAGGGGGCGGGGGGGAGGGGAGAGATAAACAGAACTTATATGCATGTACGCATAACCAATGGATATGAACAACAAAGCCTGGGACGGGGTGTGGGGGGTGGGAGGAGGGTGTCAATGGGGTAAAAAAGGAGAAACATCTGTAACAAAAATAAAATTAAAAATAAAAATTCTAATTCATCATGTCAAACAGTCTCATTAAATAGGAAAAAAAAATAATGGAAATCATACATTTAATACGCTTGATTGAAAACAGACACCAAACTTTTGTACCACAAAAACATATTCCTTGATAAATACCTAGTTATTAACAGTTACTTCTACAGAAGGAGGAAAAGAAAGGGGTGAAGAAAATGATATTTAAGCAACTTACATGGGGCTTCAATTTTTTTGTTTTTTTATTCCCCACTCGAGGATATTTTTCTACTTATTATCAGATAGAGTGAGGAAGGGAGAGAGACAGAAAAAAACATTGACGTGATAGAGCCACATCAACTGGTTGCCTCCCACATGACCCACCAGGGCCAGGAACAAACTGCAACTGACGTACGTGCCCTTGACCAGAACCAAACCCAAGACTCATGGGTCCGCGGACTGATGCTCTAATCGCTGAACCAAACGAGTCAGGTTGGGTCTTCAATTTTTAATCCAATTTGTTTAAAAGAAATTTAAGCCCTAGCTGGTGTGGCTCAGTTGGCTGAGCATCATCCCATGCACCAAGAGGCCACTGGTTTGATTCCCAGTCGGGGGCATGCAGGAGGCAGGCAATAAATGTTTCTCTCTAGTTCTCTCTCTCTCTCTCTCCCCCGCTCCTCCTTTCTCTCTAAAATCAATAAAAACATATTATGAACAACATTAAAAAAAAAAGAAATTTGAAACATCTGGCTTTTAGGAGTTTGGTGGTAAACACGTTTATTCCCTATATGTCTATATTTCTAAGTTTGAAATAGTTAATTAAAAATATATGTATAGCCCTGGCCGGTTTGGCTCAGCAGTCAGAGCGTCAGCCTGCAGTCCAGAGAAATTGAGGTTGGGTTCCCGCTAAGGGCACGTAACTCGGTTGCAGTTTGTCCCTGGCCCTGGTTGGGTCGTGTGAGTGGCAGCCATTCAATGTGTCCCTTTCACATTGATGTTTCTCTCTCTCTCTCTCTTCCTCCCACTCTATCTGAACAAAAAATGGAAAAATGTCCTCGGGTGAGAATAAAAAAAAATATATATATATATACACACATATTTAATAATACTAATGGAATGTTATTAAATCACAAAGATCTCAATAGATACCTATATGAAATAAAAGATTTAATACAAAAAGTATAAACAAAAACAAAAAAGCAAGTTACTAGAAATGAGTCTTAGGCAAAGAAGAAAATAAAAACTTTTAAAATGTATTTTCAGTAAAAAAAAAAAAAATCAGTCTTAAATGTAGGCAAGAGTATAATTAACCAGGATATCAAAAAATCAAGGTGCTAAAAAAAGAAACATAAACCTACAAAAGCATGAAAATATATTAAAGATAGATTTTTCTTAATAAATATACAGAAAAAATAAACTGATAAATATGAGATTTTTTTCATAAACCAAATCAACAATAAACCAGTCTCTAGCAAGTCTCATTTTTAAAAAAGGAAAAGAAACATAAAAACAGAGGAGATAACAGAACAGATACAGAAAAAAGTAAAATATATATTACTTTGCATAGCCTATGCTAAAAAACTTGAAAATCTCTAAAAAAGAAAGCATTTCGTAAGGAAGCTTATTAAGGAAGATGTAGGAAACATTAGGAATAATGAGGAAACATGAAAAAATTAATAGAGAAAAGGCAGGCACAGTGTTCATGTGCTTTCTTTCAAATCTATGCTATTTACACATCTCAACTCATTTTATCAGCTAAGTCATTTTATAAAGCTAGCATACGCTTGAAGTGAAAAGCTAACAAGAAGATAGCACAAAAGTATAATACAGAACATCATTTCCTCTGCCTAAAATGCATTTCCCTCAAAATTTTCCCATACAGGCACATTCATTTCATTTGCATTCATTTGTCAGTTCAAATACAACCTCCTCAGAAAGGCCTTACTTGACCATCCCATATAAAATAACTTCTCAGATCCTCTCTGTTACACTTCCTACACTCATTCATAGCATTTATTACAAACTGAAATTATCTAGAATTAAGTTCCATGAGAGTAGAGACAGTCTCATTTGTTGGTAATAATGCCAGAGCTTAAAATTTAATGGATCAAAAACAGGTGCTGAATAACTAAATATCACTTAGGAATATTATGTATTTTCAGAAATCCAGTACCCAATTCAAGTCACATATCATAATTGAAACAATAATTTCAATAGAGATCAAAGAGTGATAAAATTTAACATCCACTCGATAACATACTTATTGAGAGCTCATGAGGTACTAGGATCAGTTAATTTAGATGCTGGAAATACACCAGTTAACAAAACCAGGGAGATAAAAAATTTCTGCTAGAATAAAGCTTACACTATAATGGATCTATTCAAAACGACAACCAACATCATAGTGATAATAAAACAAGAGACATTATAGTGAGGACAAGATGTCTGCTAACACCATTATTAACTGACATTGTTCTGAATTTCTCGCCAATTCAATATTCAAGTAAAAGAAACAAAAGCTCCATATACTGAAAGAAAGAAAAACAACAGAGTTTCTGATGACACAACTACCTAGAAAATACAAAAGAATACACTGTAAAATATGTAATAAAAAGGTTCACGTTAAGGTATCTGGTTATAAACCAAACACATAAAAAACAATAGTTTTCCCAAAGAGCCATTAAAACAAAAACAGGGCCGGTTTGGCTCAGCGGTTAGAGCGTCGGCCTGTGGTCCAGAGAGACCCGGGTTCGGTTCCCGCTAAGGGCACGTACCTCGGTTGCAGCTTGTCCCCAGCCCTGGTCGGTCGTGCGGGTGGCAGCCACTCGATGTGTCCCTTTCACATCGACGTTTCTCTCTCCTCTCTCTCTGTTCCTCTCCCTCCCTCCCACTCTACCTGAACAAAAAATGGAAAAATGTCCTCGGGTGAGGATTAAAAAAAAAAAGATCTGTCCTTTATGCCCTGGCCGGTTTGGCTCAGCGGTTAGACCGTCCGCCTGCGGTCCGGAGAGACCCGGGTTCGGTTCCCGCTAAGGGCATGTACCTTGGTTGCAGTTTGTCCCCGGCCCTGGTTGGTCGTGCGGGTGGCAGCCACTCGATGTGTCCCTTTCACGTCGTTGTTTCCCTCTCTCTCTCTTCCTCTCTCTCCCTCCCACTCTGTCTGTACAAAAAATGGAAAAATGTCCTCGGGTGAGGATAAAAAACAAAAACAAAAACAGGGAGTGGTGCTATATTGAGGAATTTGGTCACTATCTTTTCTATGATTTTATAAACTATGATCATAAATCTTCACCTTTTCCACACATTCATTTTTTATTTACTGATTGATTTTGAGAGACAGAGAGAGATTTGTTGTTCCACCTATTTATGCATTCACTGGTTGATTCTTGTATGTGCCCTGGGCAGGGATAGAACTCAAGTATTGGGATGAAACTCTAACCAACCCGACCAGGACCATTCATTTTTTTTTTTTCATCCTCATCTAAGTATTGGGATGAAACTCTAACCAACCCGACCAGGACCATTCATTTTTTTTTTTTCATCCTCATCTAAGGATACTTTTTGCATTCATAGAGTGAGAGGGAGAGAGGGAAGAAGAGAGAGAAACATCGATGTGAGAGAGACACAGACTGGTTGCCACCCACACAACCCCAACCAGGGCGGGGGACAAACTGTAACCGAGGTACGTGACCTTAGCGGAAACCGAACTCAGGTCTCTCTGGACCGCAGGGCAATGCTCTAACCGCTGAGCCAAATTGGCCAGGGCCACACATTCATTTTTAAAGAGTTAACAATTTGTAAATTTGAAAAACAAATCCACTAAGAGAAAAGATTCCTGCTGTGGAAAAACACATTTCTTTGAATCATTATCAGACCATGGAAAAAGAAGTGCAGAGTAAATTCTTTTATACCTCTATGTTCCAGTTATGCTGTTCCAAGGTATGACGACACTGATCCATAGATTCTATGCCAGTCAGGTCCTGGAAAGGATAAAAACAAAAAGTGACTTAGGGAAAAACCAATAGTACATTTGTAGATATTTTTATCCCTAATCGAATATTTATGAATACCTCTGGGAAAATACACTAAAAAGTACTGAAGGTAGATGGTCAAATATGTTAACACTTCACTATTCAGAATTTATCTAGTTATATCAGAGATAGAACAAAAAATGAAAATTCCTTGCCTTTTAAACCTTCAGGCTTCGCCTGGCTGAATGGCTCAGTTGGTTGGAGCATCACCCCATGCACTGAAATGTTGCCAGTTCAATTCCTGGTCAGGGGACAAACCTGGGTTGTGGGTCTGATCCCCAGTGTGGGCGAGTATGGAAGGCATCCGATGGAGATTTCTCTCTCACATCAATGTTTCTCTCTCTCTCTCCCTTCCTCTCTCTAAAGCATGTTCTTGAGTGAGGGTTAAAAACAACAACAAACACCTGGCTGGTTTGGCTTCAGTGGTTGGAGCTTCGGCCCATGGACCAATGAGTCAGGGATTTGATTCTGGCCAAGTGCATGTACCTCAGTTGCAGTTCATACCTGGCCCTGGTGGAGGTCGTGTGGGAGGCAACCAGTTGATATGTCTCTCTCATGTCAATGTTTCTCTGTCTCTCTCCCTTGCTCTCCCTCTCTCTCCCTCCCACTCTATCTGAAGATAAATAGAAAAATATCCTCAGGTGAAGGTTAAAAATAAAATAAAATAAAATCAATACAGAAATTTTTTTTTAAAAAACCCAAAACCTTCAAGGTTTTCAATTAAGAAGACAACTGACTAATATTCTCATCTCAAATTCATGTTTAAAATTACAACTATTTGTCCTGGCTGGTTTGGCTCAGCGTTTAGAGCATCAATCAGCCTGTGGTCCAGAGAGACTCAGGTTCGGTTCCCGCTAAGGGCATGTACCACGGTTGCAGTTTGTATGGGTGGCAGCCACTCGATGTGTCCCTTTCACGTCGATGTTTCTCCCTCTCTCTCCCTCCTACTCTATCTGAACAAAAGTCCTCGAGTGAGAATAAAAAATAAAAAAAAATTACAAGTATTCTGCCCTGGTCGGTTTAGCTCAACAGTAGAGCATTGCCCTGTGGCCCAATGAGTCACAGGTTCAATTCCAGCCAAGGGCACATACTTCGGGTTGCAGTTCATTCCTGACCCAGGGTCATGTGGGAGGCAACCAGTCTATGTTTCCCTCCATTGACGATGTTTCTCTCCCTTTCTCTTCCTCTCTCCCTCCCGCTCTATCTGAAGATAAATAGAAAAAATATCCTCGGGTGCAGATTTGAAAAAAAATTACTACTATTCTGTTTATAATATATAATGATATAATAATGCAAGTTTCCTGTAAAATATAATGACTTTTATTAACTTGCATTGTTCTTCCTACTGGCATAAACCTAGCTTACAATATGAACTGTGTACAACTTTTTATTAAAAAGAGCCTTTAGCCTGACTGTGTGGCTCAGTGGATTGAGCGTCATCCCATGCACTGAGAGGTCCCAGTTCGATTCCTGGTCAGGGCACATGCCTAGGCTGCAGGTTGGATCCCCTGCAGAGTGCGTGAGGAGGCAGCCAATCGATGTATCTCACTCACATCGATGTTTCTATCTCTCTCTCTTTAAAAAAAAAATCAATTAAAAACTTATTTTTTTTTAAAAAAAGAACCTATAATTCAAGTGTTTCCCTACTCCCTTCTCCTTGGACTAGTCTCAGGTTTCACTTTGTCTTTAACCAAAGTTCCTTCTCTGGCTCCTCTTCTTTCCTCCCTGACAACATAGAAGTTCTCTAAGGATGCATCCTCAGTTTTTGACGCTACACCTCCCTCCCTGGCAATCTCATTTAATCCTTAGCCTTCAACCACCCTTTCTACTCAGATGACTCCTAATTTAATTTCTGGACCCACCATCTCTTCTGAAGTTTGGAACACTTTTTCAATAAATAGTCTATTCAATATTTCGACCAAATGTGGCAGCAATACCTCAAGTATAACATTAAAACCACTATATGTGATAAGATACAACCACCCTCCCAAATATACAGGCTAAGATGACACCTGGAATCTGAGCCTCATCTTTGAGTACTCTATCCTTTGAACTCCACAACGCAACAGTAATCAAGTTCTGACCATTTTCTATATTACATTTGTAACCACATCCCCACAGCCAGCATCTTTAATCAAGCTTTTATAACACCTTAAGTGAACTGTCAAAACAATTAATTTCTCTTCCTCCTTCTAACTATTCTTCCTATTTGTTGTGCGTGTGTGTGTGTGTGTGTGTGTGTGCACGCGCACATCACTCCTCTGCTCAAAACTTTTCAATTGATTTAATAATAAATTCCAAAATCCTTAGTTTGGTATTCAAGTGTTCCTATAATGTGGCCCCAACCTAGCTTTCTAGAATATTTTCTCACTACTTCCCTTTATGTGTCCAATACTCAACAAATCTAACATTTCACACAGACATCTAGTGACCAGAATTTCCACAGAGCTAAATCCTTGCCCTCCTTCAAGTTCTAATACAAATGCCAAATCCATCCATCTATTCTTCCATGTAACAAATGTCTATTGTTACTGTCTATTTCTTACAATGTCCAAGGGATCTAGAGATGAATACAATAATAGTCTTCATCTTTAAGAAATTCCTCTTAACAACCAGTAAACAACAGGAGAAAGAAACAGATCTCAACCTGACAAGAATGCGGTAACATGCACTAATAAGCCAGGAGACTAAAGTTTTTGCCTGTGACCATAGACTAGACATGTTTAATCTCTGGATTTCAGTTTCCTTTATGTGCAATAGGAAGGATTTAATTTGGATTAGATATCCTTTCCAGAGCTTAAAAAAAAAAAACACCCTAAAGTTTGAATTCTTTAGGTATGCAACTGTTTACTCTTTTATTTATTTATTTAAATCCTCACCCGAGGATATTTTTCTATTCATCTTCAGACAGAGTAGGAGAGTGGGAGAGAGGGAGAGAGAAACATTGACATGAGAGAGGCAACATGAGTGGTTGCCTCCCGAACGACCGTGACCAGGGGCTGAGCTGAGCCACAACCAAGGTACATGCCCTTGGCCGGAACTGAACCCACTAGTCACTGGTCTGTGGGCCGATGCTCTAACCACAGAGCAAACCGACCAGGGCTGCAATTGTTTTATTTATATATATGTATGTATGTATATCCTCACCAGAAGACATTTTTGCATTTATCTTCAGATAGAGCAGGAGGGAGAGAGGGAGAGAGAAAGAAACATTGATGTGAGAGAGACACAAGTGGTTGCCACCCACACAACCCCAACTGAGGCTGCAGACAAACTGCAACCGAAGTACATGCCCTTAGAGGGAACTGAACCCAGGACTCTCCCATCTGCGGGGCCAATGCTCTAACTGCTGAGCCAAAATGGCCAGGGCTGCAATTATTTATTTTTAAAAATTATACCAGAGGTAATAAACTTTGCTAATATTTTGTTGTTGTTTAAAATGCTACAAAAATTTCATACTGAAACTGAAAAGCTCTGTTAAGAACTCTAGAACTCTAAGAGAACCACTAGCTTTGATAGCTCTGATAGTCTGAATTCTAGATCCAGCCCTCTTACTAATTTGGCTATTGCCTTCTGGCTTATAATAGGCTCCCCCTTCATTTCCATTTCCTTTTAACCCACTTCAGAAGACTGGGATGCCTTTGAACATTCTCTCTAAGAGCTGAACTCTACTTTTACCTTCTTCTCAGAGCGTGAATGACCATTCTGTATTTATTTATTTATTTATTTATTTATCTATATTCCTCACCCGAGCATATTTTTCTACTTATTATCAGATAGTGTGGGAGGAAGGGAGAAAGAGAGACAGAGAGAAACATTGATGTGATAGAACCACATCGACTGATTGGCTCCCACACAACCCGACCAGGGCTGGTGACGAACTGCAACCGAGGTACATGCCCTTGACTGGAATCAAACCTGAGACTCATTGGTCCACAGGCTGATGCTCTAACCGCTGAGCCAAACCAGCCAGGGCCCACTCTGCCTTTAAATGCCCTATTTGTTTTCTACCTTTTTATTTTTTAAAGATTATTTTTATTTTAGATAGAGAGGAAGGCAGAAAGAGAGAGAGGAAGGTAGGAAGAGAGAGAAAAAGGCAGAGAGATTTGTTGTTCCACTTATTTATGCATTCTTTGGTTGATTCTTGTATGTGCCTTGACCCAGGACCAAACCGGCAACCTTGGCATATCAGGATGATGCTTCAACCAACTGAGCTGGCCAGCCAAGGCGTTTTCTACCTTTCTTATGTACTTATTATGTTCTACCTTTTTTTAATGATTATTATACTCACTCCACTGCCTTACCAGAAGATGCAGGCTCCTGGACAGCAGTGTCAGCGATTCATCTATACAGAATGCTCCCCAGTACCTAGCACACAGTAAGGGCTTAAAAAGCTGCAGAAAAAGCCCTGGCAGGTTTGGTTCAGCAGTTAGAGCGTCGGCCTGCAGACCAACAAGTCCCAGGTTCGATTCTGGCCAAGGGCATGAACCTCAGTTGCGGTTCGTCCCTGGCCCGAGTTGGGGGGGTCATGCGGGTGGCAACCAATAGATGTGTCTCTCTCACATTCATCTCTCTCTCTCTCTCTCTCCCACTCTGTCTGAAGATAAATGTAACAACAACAACAAAAAAGACAACCCTGGCTAGTTTGGCTAAGCGGTTGGAGCTTCGGTCTGTGGACCAGAAAGTCCGGGGTCAGTTCCTGCTACGGGCATGTACCCTCCCCCCCCCAAAAAAAGCTGCATAAAAAGTTAGTCCAAGTTAAAAAGACCTTTGTGTATAAAGATCAATTATCATAGCTATAAACTGAAATCCTCTAGACATTTACGTCAAATCTCATTGTATATTAATACCCTTGGGTTTTGTAACTCCAAATGTTCGGACTAATGTTAAGCTGTCTCTTAATAATATAAATTTGGTCCTGGCTGGTTTGGCTCAGCAGTTAGAGTGTC